AGCAACGATAAGTGGTGTTTGTGTTGTTTTCCTCAATATATTATTAAGGCTTCTTCAAATAAATTATAACACCAATGTTTATTTGGGGTCTTTGGTAATTTGTAAATTTCTGACTCTCGTCTTCAATTGGGACAAGTAATGAATGAATTCGTTCATTATCAGATAATTAATTTCCGTTTTTTTTCTTTTTCGTAGAACAGTGTATGCCTGGCTTATTGTTTTTTCTTCAATTGATCGGTAGGTAGTATTATAATTAAATAGACATAGCATTGGATTTGAAAATATTTTTCCATTTGAATTAAGAATTTTTCAAAACTTAAAAATCATAAATTCATCTTTGAATATATTAAACACAGCTTTTTTTCTCTATTTTTAATCAAAAACATCTAATATTCAGATGAACGAGGTACGCATGATTCTGGGCGAAAAATCCCGAAAAATGAAAGAAATTTGGAAGCAGGAATCCTGTAAATGAATTCGACGTTCAAATTTCTGCTTCCATGTTCTTATCATTTTTCAACGTTTTTTGGTCGAAAAGCCACGGATTCTGGTGCCTGAATCGTCGTCTATGATCTATGAAACTTCAATTATTATAGTGTTTTATCGTTTTCATATTCGCACATTCTACATTATATGTAAGGTTTTGTTTCATATTTTTACTGTTTTCTCTTTTTGTAATCAACCTCGGAAAGTTTTCCTTTGCCTTTGCTCTAATAATTGTGAATATTTGATATATGGATGGAAACGTGACGCTGAATAGAGCAAAAAATTGCTGACACGTAAGAGAATGGATTTCCATTCCGATGATGATTTTTCTAAAAATATCTAGACTTTTCAATTTAAATGAACAACTTTTACCATCTAAGCTTGATGATCATTGAAGTAAATGCGTAACTATACATTGAGAATCAGTTCGATTTCGTCAACAACATATTTCTATAAGAGTTCTAATAATTTTCCAAATTACAAATCAGTATTCTAGTAAGTGAGGAGAAAGCTACAGCTTCATCGATAGAATTCTAGAAACTAAAGTAAAATATTATTTAGGGCAGTCAAAGAGTTCTGTCACTTTTTCAAAGTGATTGATAAGAAAAGACATTCCCATTATCTATTTATAGCAAAAATTCAAGGTAGTTGTTGTGATATTCGATACAAAGTTTCATTGTCTCAATCAAGCGTTAAGATGACTTGTACTCGCCGATAGGTTTCAAATTGAGCGTCTCAGTTATTACTATTCGTTTCAAAAAAGAAGGCGCGCGTTTTGCGAATCGAATAACTTGAGAACGCAAACAACTAGCGACGGGGTGTGGGTGCGGATCCCTACGACATCACGTTCAAATGCTAGAGCTCAAGTAGCAAACCTGTGAAAAATCAGGTTTTCAACTCAGAAAGCATGGTTTCATGCTCGATATAGGTTCCGAAGTGATCATCTCATAGGTTTATGGTCCCGTTAGTCATCGTGGTACTGTTTGTTTTGTTCTACAAGAAACTTTCTTTTCCTTCAGTTGTCGGAATCGGGTCCACATTTAGGCTGTTTTTAGTCTATTTTGCCGCCAATTACGCTTCAAAAAACACTAACAGAAGGTAATGAGTGCACGTACATATCACGAGCTACGTTAACGGTTCGAAAACGAAAAATTATATTTAAAGCCTAGTTCAAAGGTCTATAACAATCGAAACGAAGCCAATGTCGGCAACCGAAGAAAAAAAAAGTTTCTTGTAGAACAAAACAAACAGTGCCATGATGACCAACGAGGCCAAAAATCTATGAGACGATCACTTTGAAACATGTATCGAGCATGAAAGCATGCTTTCCGGGTTGAAAATCTGGTTTTTCACAGGTTTGCGTAGAATTGTAGAGAAGGATCTTTCACATCGAATGCACTGATTGGAGTCAAAACTCCATCACGTCTTCCACATTTGGCAAGTTACTTTTTCCAAGATTTGCCTGAAACCACTCCCCTCAAACCTGTTCGAGAATTTTTCTTTTTATATATGACTACGTACCTGGCCTTCTCTTCCTAACGGTGAAAATTGCAAGTCGCTAGCTGTTTGCGTTCTCGAGTTATTCGATTTGCAATGGTGTGCCTTCTTTTTTGAAACGAATAGTAGGTACTTAAAATGTTTACATTCGGATTTATATATACTTTGTTATCAAGATAATACACTGGCAATGACTCCATAAAAATGGATGTATCTGATTGGAACTTCTCTAAATTTTTCAGAGGTTAATTTACAAATGTAAATGAAGTAATAACCAAGGCGCCAAATTTGAAATCTGTTAGCGAATACAAAAAGACATCTTAACATTTGATTGAAATAATGAAACTTTGTTTCAAAGTGACAGAACTTTTTGACTGTCCTAAGTACGATCGATTGATCATCTCAAATGATTTTTTTTCATAGATTTTTATGCAGTTCATCTTCTGCTTCGCTTCGGGCATTCAGTAGTTTTCGTGTTGCCTCTCGTACTATTTCTTTCACAATTCTCATCGCCGGTCTTTCATATATACATGTACTTATTTATTTTGAAATTGATATGCAACACCAAGCATGTAGCCCAATGCAAAGCACCTATCAACAATTCCTCAGTATATGGCTTCTCATTACATATATTTTAGTTCCACCCATGGTAATGCTTTTCTTTGGATTAAGTACCGTTCGAAATATTCGTCAATCAGTTAGACGCATTGCAATAAATAATACTCATACTCAACTTCCACAAGAACAAGTTCGAAAATCAATAGATCGACAAATGATCCAAATGATGCTCGTTCAATGTATCGTGTTTACACTTAAAGGATTTCCTCTTACAATATATTACCTGTACACGTCACTCAGATCGAATATAACAATGAATGCTCTACAAGCAGCAAAAGACAACGTATTTTATAATATTACTGGTTCTGGATCACTTGCAGTGCCTTGTTTGAGTTTTTATCTATTTACATTGTCAAGTAAATTATTTCGTTAGAAAGTCACCGAGCTGTTTTGTGGCCCGTGGAGCTTAACACCCACAACTAGTACTGGCATTGCTCTATCACAAAGAATCCAACGTGATCGTATTTAATGCAGAGTTGGTTATGTACCAGATCATCAGTTTTTATTGTAATTCTAAATATCAATTAATATAACTGTGTAGTATCTTGGATAGCGATAATTGCAACTGATTTCAAGAACAATTGTAATTCTATATATAAAAGGTTAGAAATAAGATTTCATCAAATAGGAAATTTGATAAAAGACTAGTTGAACTTATTCTGTTAAAATTTCGAAAAACGTAACTACAGATAGGCGTCATGTGGATTTCTTCCCTATATTAATCGAAAGAAATGATCGATTGGCTTTTATTGTCTATCGGTAACTTCTTTTGTATTGTTATATTCTGAATCATAGTCTTATAAGTTGAAAAACTTGTCGTAAAGGCATATGTGCAATAATTTTGTCGATTGAATTATACTTAGAAGAAAAATTTATGCTGAAATTGGAGCGAATCTCTGACTGGACTTCTGAGAAAGTAAATTACTTGTTGTAAGATTTTTACAACAATTTTTGATCGAAGATAACTATATTAGAAAAGAAAAATATGCAATGAAATGTAGTACACAAATTGAATAAGAAATTTTTTAATATCAACCCAAAAGATATTGAAAAAAACAGATTGAAATAGTTCGCGATAATATTTGCCTTCAGTCAACGAAATATGTGACAAAAATATTTCTATATCGATAAAACAAAGAATGAAATTGAGTAACTTTTTCGATAATTTGACTTGATTGAATTATTCTTATCCAAAAACGTAATAATTAGATTAACTCGAATCGATATTATTATTCTTTGTTCTTGTTTTCAGCCGACATTTTCTAGATAATGATTAGAAAAATCTATCGAACTTAAGATTCTCATCGAAACTCTTCTTTCATTTCATGATAACCAAGCAATGAAAACACATAGTGTGAAGCAAACTGGTGCACAAAAATATGCAAGATTAGAATACGCTAATTATGAATTAATATTTAACATAGATTACTTCAAAAAAAAAATCATTTTCAAAATTTCACTACTAAACCGACGACTAAGCTTTCGAAATTCCATTTAATCAAAATAATAAAAGTCATCGAATACTAAAAAATATCAACTGTAGTCATCAATACAAAAATTTGTTTCAAAAAATTCTATTCAATAAAACACCGTGCCACAATTGATCTTGTGTAGTTCTTTTTACAAAATTTTGTCATTGATCGAATAATTTTATACAGATATTCATTAGAATAGATGATCGACTTGTGGTGTTTTTTTTTGTTATTTTTATATTTCTGTATCAAATGACTAGAAGTTATACTCATGTAGAGGTGTGTACACGAAACTCAATCTTGAATGAAAAAGATACAAAAATGACCTTTATTGGTTTCATTTGTTCGAGAGTATTGTATCAAAGATCAAAATCAATGACATTTCTCCCGTTCATCCAAAGCGACGAAAATCTTCATTAAAATTAGCTTTGTTGAGCTTTCTTGTCATTAATTTCATGCATTTTGATTAAATTTGTTAAGTATTTCCAAAAATAAACATACTATTCTCACTAGAAACGATTTTCATGATTTGAATTGTCTCATTGTTTTTTTTAAAATTATTTTATCATTAATCAAAGAATATCTCATTTTAATAGCTCAATAAAAACATATACAAAGTGATAAAATTGTCGAGTAGAGAGCATTTGCTATTTATGACATCTCGGTTAATCGATCGAAACAATCAAATTCAAGTTTCGTGCAACAATAAAATCTTCAGCAATACTGACAGTTTCTATTTTCATCAGCAGTGATGATGTATTAATTAACAATGATGGGTATACTGATTAACATCAGTACGACATACATCAACCTCTTTTTCAACGCCCAACATCTTTTTTATTATTTTATACAAGGCCGGAATTGTGCGACACCCACACCCTCACCCAAAGTGAATTCATTTAAAATGAATTATAATTTAATGAATTTTTAATTTATCTTAAAATTTATTATTTTTTGTCTATTAAACATTATTACTAGAAAAACTGAAAAATCTCTTTTATTATAATGAATAGGCGTGATTTTGAGCATTTGAACAGCATGTCGTTCAATATTTAGCGATGTATAACTACCGAAAAACATGCCTAAATCTTGTCGAGTCCATAAATCACGTACTTGAGCCCATTGATTAGCGGGCCAACCAAAATCAGTCCATTTGACTGTGATTACTTCGCTGGTAGTACTATTGCGATTGAGCAATAGAACAGCTTGTGATCCGTCAGATAGTGGACCCGCCCATATTTCAATATTTTGTTCAACAGTCAAGCATTGACCATTATCTGTATTTTTCAATAAACCGTCTGTTTGATTCCATATCCATGTTTGACTTTCTCGTTCATTACAAGAAGATACACTTACAATACGTTTATGCTGATTGTTAACGCTCAAACTAAAAGTAAATATTGATTTAATTATTTAATATCTTCTCATTCTTCTATAGATACGAAAAAGAAGCAACTCACCATTTTCCATTGAGTTGAGAAACAATTGTCTGTTTGTCGGTGTTTACTGTCCACTGTTGATTTTTACCTTGACATGGTGCTTTAGAATTATCGATGTAACATGAAGTGGTGATAAGACTGATTGGATCGTTAGAATCACATTTTTCAATTGTCAAACATTTTCCATCAATTCCTAGTCGAATTTTACCATCGTGTGGATCATATATCCATTTCTGACGTTGCTGTATGATTTTTAGCGAGGAACAATCCCTCATAAGTACCATGCTTGGAATGTTCGGTAGTTGGGATGAAGAGGCAAGAATTTTCTTACCTTGCACACCTAAAGGATCTTGATTAATAGCGATTACTTCAGAATTTAAATAAATATTTAGAGTGGCTTGACTCATCTTTAGTACATCACCGCCAATCAAAAGTGGAGCTTTACTAATCGCCCAAAGGGAGAAATAAGAGATATATTCTGTATCTGTCATACCACCATTGCCTATTCGTAGCACTATTGCAAAAAAATGTCGAAATCTTTAAAGAGAAATGAGTTTCGAAAATAAGCTCACTATCAGGATCATTCCAACCACCAGGTCCTGCTTTATCAGCAAATTGATTATTCTAAATAAGAATGAAAAGATTTTTCAACATAAAATTTTTAATTCTACTATATCTATAGTGCTGATCATTGAATCCCAAGTATCCAAAATATCTTCAGTTGTTCGCCAACTATTACCAACATCTGCGGCCCATAGAGCCGGTGTATCAACGCCCCATTCTATTTAAATACAGTTATTGACAAATCATTATATGATCTTTATGTTTTTATTTTGGTTTGCAGAATATTTACCACATAATGAGTAAAAAATTGGTCGACCGGTAGCATTTAATGCATCACGCATCACTGGATAGCGTACTTCTGGTTTAGTACCATCTGTATAGCAATTGTCATACTTTAAATAATCGATATCCCATGAAGCATATGTATTTGCATCTTTTCTTTCATAACCTAACGAACCAGGTCGACCAGCACATGTTTTGTATCCAGCATCTAATCATTAAACGAGATATAGATGACAATTGTATAAAAAAAAAAGAATAAAAGTCATGATCATACCTGAATATAAACCAAATTTAAGTTTACGAGAATGGACATAGTCAATAAGAGCATGTATACCACTAGGAAATACTTTTGGATCAGCTTGAATAGTACCATTAGCGTCACGACTTATCTGCCAACAATCGTCTAAGTTGACTAGATAAATAAAAAAAAGCACATAAAAAGAAAATCTAAAGTAATAATGCTCGAAACGCACTATATTCATAGCCGGCTGCAGCCAAACCACTATTTATAATTATATCAACTGTCTGTTGAATCATTTTTTCTGTATAATTACACCAAAAATTATACCAACTATTCCAACCTAAAAGAAATTAATTAGTTTAACGACATATATTTAAGTGTTTTATTTCTTTTACCCATTTGTGGAGTTTTTCCAAGACCATTATTAAGTCCATAAGTCACATTTACCAATATGAAAATAAGTAGAAGTCGTCTTGATATCATCTTCATTTACCAATTCAACATGAAAGAGAGAAAAGTGTATCCATTGATATAGAGTTTATCTATTGGTTTTTTTCAAGACAAATAGAGATGACTATCTTATTATCAATTCTTTTTACATTGGTATCTTCGAAAAATGTGTTATAGGTATTTATTTACTTAAATAAGGAATATTCTTTTTCTCATACATTTTACTTAATATTTCATATCTATTAGTTTGAAATATGTTATTGATAATAGTAAAAATAATTCAAACATATTTTGAAATTGAACAAATTTATAAAGATAAATTAAAAGATTTTGTCAATATAAGATTCATCGATATGAAGAATCACCATTTGTTTCAATAGGCAAAAATACGAAAAGGTCTAATTAATCAGTTAAAAAGAGAAATATTATTTTTCAATTTCACAGTATCATTCATTGAGATTAGTTTCTTCGAAGTGAAAAAGTGAGGTAAAATATCTGGTTTATTAGTACATGAGTAACGAAGCAAAGATGACAGTCTATTTTATTGTTGATCAACCTTGAGAAACTGGAAGAGTAGCGTTACCGCTAGTGTACTGTGTGATCAAATGTTTTACGATCACACGTGATCGTGATCACGACTATAAAATATTCATTCAAAAATATAATGTTCACAATTAAGTCAGAAAAAAACTGATCATTTCCATGTTAGCTTCAATAAAACATACATGTTAAACTTGAAACTTGAATTCAATTCTTCAATAATTATACGAATATGCACTGAAGGTGGTAAGTGCTTTTTCTCGTCTAACCTTTCACGGACAAAAAAAAGTATCTTTTTTATTGACTCGTTCTCCTCTATATTTTATTATTCCTTTATTGACTATTCATGGATAGAGCCTAAGTTACACTACTCATGTTTATAATCAGTCTATTTTACTGGCTTATAGTTTCAGATTTGTTCGACATATACAAAAATGTCTAATTTTCGTGATACTCTCTCACGGACAAAAAAGTATCATTTTCGAAACGTGGATAATGAATCGCTCAGATTTTTGTCAATTTTCAAAACAAATTATGCAATCATAAGATAAACAATCCTATGTAAATTATCGAGCTTTTCAAGCTGCGTCTTGTAGTATATTTTGTTTTTTTAACACAACGTATTGGGTGATCAGGAATTGAAATGAAAAAAGAAACTACTACGAAAATGAGACATTTTTGTATATGTCGAATAAATCTGAAACAATAAGCCAGTAAAGTGCATTGCAAATAAACATAAGTAGCTTAATTTATGTTCTATTCATGGATATGTAAATGAACATATTACAGTAAAAGATGAAGGAGAACGAGCGAATAGAAAAAGGTACTCTTGGGATTTCAAAGAGCTCCCCGAAGAGCTGCGGCTCATGCACGTCTCTATATACACAGTAATCGAAGTATGTGAAGTTTAGACCCACACATGTTAAACTTGAAACTTGAAATTTCAATTGAATTCAAGTTTCAAGTATTACACTACGGAATCAGCAGTAGGGATTCTTAAACTGAACACTTATTAAAGCTTTTTATATGTCCAGAATATTAAAAAAGAATAAATAAAAGAACAACAATCGACTATTGTTTTTGATCTCGATTAGTATTTAATGTACTTAATCGTAACGTCTCCGGTTGAGTTGATGATATGACATTATCTACCTTCACTCCTTGGGGTGAATGAACCGTTCACCATCCTTTGTCATTTCTTCTCACAATATGCTTTGTCCTCACCTTATCAGCTCTTTTCATCGTATGCATCTCCTCATCTTTCTTGACTTGCCCTTAACTTATTATTCTTTCTCTATTGTTCTCTTTTCTCTTTCGATACTCTCTTCGGTGTTCTCGTACATACATATAAAAGTAGAATCGTGTGTTGCTGTATGTGTACAATTGTATGATTTGAAAGAATATAATAAAGTGACGAAGGAATATACTATAAATAGTTTAAAGAAAGAAATAATAATGTAGGAAAACTACAACGAACAAAAATACTAAAAAGGAAAATTTCAAGTTCATATGCCAATACGACACAGATAGATTATGAAAAAACAAAGGAATGTTTAATAAAATATTTTCGAAATTTATTGTACTCTTTTTGTTTTCAAAAATTCTACAAAAAATTAAAATTGAATCGATGGATAGCATAGATAAAAAAATTTCATCAAATTTGTTCATCGGTCAAATTAGATGCATTTAAAAAATATCCATGTTATTTGATCTATGTAACCGAATTTTTCTATACCGAAGCAATCGCATAATTCCAATAGTAATGATTCCACTAATAAAACAAAATGTATTACCCGTAACAATTAAATCCTATTGTTATAATATTAATTCAAATTTCAAATGCAAGAAGTTCATTTCGAACAGCATCAAGCATAAAACCTGTAGCACTTTCAAGTGTATGAACTGAATCAGAAATCGATCGGCGTACTTCAGCAGTTTGTTTAGTAGATGCTTCAAGTAAAAGTTCAGCTTGTGTATGATCAAATATATCTCGTTTACGATTATCAGTTAGATACATTCCAATCATATCTTCATCGTGTGCAAGAACAGCAATAATAGGTTTATGTGCAAGTTCACGTAAACGTCCAAGTATAATACGAGCATATGCACGTTCTCGAACATTTTGAAATCCATTTAAAAGTTCATGTGTTTCTAATTTTAATTGATGAGCAACTGTTTCTAAATTTATTTCAGTTATTCGAAATTCATATGGTATTGTATCAATATTATTTGATGCTTGAATAATAAATCGTTCATGATAAAGTTGATATATATATTTGACATTTTGACGATAAGCTTCAGAAATACGTTCCCAATGAGCAGCATCTCTTATTCCAAAAGATTCTCCTATAGCTTTATAAGCAGATGGAACGAAAAATATACTTCGATTGAATTGTACTAAACTTTGAAGTCTTTGAAATGAAAAACAAATAAATCGATTTTGACGTATATCGATTAGTGGAACATTTATAAGAATATTTGTATCAAGTTTTTGTAAATCTCTTGGTTCAAGATTATATTGTTGACATATTTGAGTACGACCAAATGAACCTCGATGAACTTGTAAATAACTATCTTTAGTTAATGTAAATATATCACAATTTAATATATGAGAAGAATTTGATAAAAAATCTTCGTGCAATTTTGATTTAGATGATCGAAGTCGACATTGAACTCGATTATGTAATATTAAATTATTTTAATTAAATAAATAATAAAGATTTCTTTGAATTGATTGAAATAAAGGTTTTTCCGATTTACTTCCACATAATTGCTTTGACTGGACAGACAAAATAAAGCGCATGATTTATAATATATTTAGTTAAGTCGGCTGACTGCACCAAGTGCAGCAGGCGACTTACTGCTTTTCACTCGGTTAGTTACCATGGCAAATCCTCCTTCTTCTTCTCAACACATGAGTTACGATTCACGGCAGCCACTCGTTCTCAGCTTCCAAACATCATTTTGATCCGAAAAAAAGTTTGGCGAGATTGTGAGAACGTGACGCGTGTACATTTGAAGTCCGTTTTTCGAAATTCGGCGGCGTTCGGGAGATATAAATAATGTCAAAAATGATAATTAACAGCTGATAGTTTCCTTATATGGTTATACATGACTCAGTCTTAAGAAGACCATTGATATCTGAGATTGTATGTGCATTTATACTTTAACTATCATCTTACATAGCTTAAGAGAGCTTCCTTACGTGGAAATCTATGATTCAGATTCATTATGATTTCCTGTAAACGAATCTTAGGTTTAGAAGTAGTAGATGTCGTATAGGATCAGGTTTCGATATTTTTCGGGCTCTGCAGTCAGTCGACTTTTCTAGCCGTCCTTGGATCGGGTAGAGATCTAGTTTGAAGTCTTTCTTTCGATATATATAGAAAATAAATGTGGAAACCTCGGATTTAAATCCGAGAGTTATGTGTACTTCAAAAAGTGAATCAGACAGAGGAGTCACCCTAGAATGTGTGAACATCAAAATTGTCCTGGCAAACCCTTTCTGTAAACACTTAATTTCTATTGGCTATTGCTCAGTCAATACGATTTGGAGGCAAATACAGCTCAGATTTGAACTCTTCACCTTGATTTACCCTAAGAAACTCGTTTTTCCTATAACTTGATTTCTATTGGTCACTGCTCAACCAATGGGATTTCGAGGCGAATGGAACATAGATTCGAGTTCTCCATTCTAGAAAACCTCGAACTATTATCTCTGTGATGGGAAGATGAACTCTAATTGTGGATCATATAGAGCGTGGACAAAAACAGAACCGAATTCCGATTAATTATCTTTGCAATAGGCGAGTTAGCTTTCTTGTTTCTTTATGTTTTATATACCATTTTGTAGCTCGTGAAATTCTCTATCGAATAGTATATAATAGTTGGGGTTTTATCTGACTATGATAGGAAAAGTTTTTTATGAAAACAGAGAAGGGTCTATCTTCTCATAGGGAAAAATGACTATTTTTGCAATAACTCAGCAATGGTTCGGCCAATCATTCTCATCTTCGAACTCGACCAAGACATTGTTAAGACTGAACTGTGCAGAAAATTTCATCGCGATTGGACTCTCCTTTCAAAAGTTATCGTGTTAACGGCCGGACGGCCGGACGGACGGACACACTGACCGATTCTAGAGTGTACTCACTTTCTGAGTACACAAAAAAGATGTCGAAGTGCTAGTAGCAATTCATCTTTGTTTCATTTGGAAAACGAAGCACGAAACAAAAAAAGAAAGATTATGATTATTAGACGAATAAACATGACACGATAGTAATTATCAATTTTCTTCTGAATAATGATTGAAAGAAGATATTTTCTATTGCAATATAAAAAATGTATTCATAACCACAAAACAGAAGAAGATATTAGCAAAATTTAATACACTTCGAATGATAAAATCATCATGTCAACAATAATAATATGAATAAAACATTGATGTTATAATGAATTTAATCATAAAAAAGGATTGCTATTTTTGTTAAACATTCAAATATTCAGTCGTTCGCGACTTTAGTTTGAGGCCTTCCTCTCCAAAATCGATCTCAGCCCAGGAACGTTCAAGTGGCATGAAATTTTCAGTCCAATATCATGACGTTTGAGAAAGATATTAACCAAATCACGGTCAAAAATAGCTCATTTGACAAACCAAATTTCTCTGTCCCGGTTTTATTCTATATACTTGATTTTTTTTGTTTGAAAGAGCGTGGCAGGATGCAATGCAGTGCCCTTTTTTTAACTCTTACTTTTTAAGGGGAGAAAAGGATCGAAAGTTCAATTACTTAAAATACTCTCTAAAAATGGCGCTCTAATTATAGAAATGTTTGTATATATAGTAAAAGCAAAGCTTAATAAACGAATACTGTGCTTCACACCGCATTAAAAAAAGGGCTCTGTACTTCACTGCGTCTTGTCATGCTCTCTCGAATAAAAAGAAAATTAAATGTATAGAATAAGCATTGGTAGAGAAAGAATGGGGGCGCATAAGAGTCATTTATGGGCCATCGTCAGTTTTCCTTCGTTCATGACTTATCTAGTGCAGAATTTCAAGAGGAATCGTTTGGTAACAAAATAAAGCCATTTCTAAGAGATTTAAACGTAGTTTAGGTCAAAATATTAATATTGACTTTTATACTGTATATGAATAATTCATACGTAGGACCGTAGACCTTGTAAACCTTTCAATACAAAGATATTTCAAATCAAAATTTATATCAATCGACCATCCATCCTCTAATCTATTTATAGTAAAAATTTTAGTTCAAACAGTTGAACTATTGCTGAGTAATGATATCAACTTGTTCCATGTAATCATGAGAATCAGATACT